GGCTCATAAGAAGTACTTATGCTTAAATGACATCATAACGTTGGGGTCCCCGTCTGATAGATTTGGTGGCCTTATAAAAAGAGGGAGAGAAAGGGAGGTGTCACTACCTCTCCTCCCCGTGAGAACAGCTCTCTACCCTGTAGGACAAGTTCCCACCATGAATTGAATATCTGGCACCTGACTCTGGACTTCCTAGGCCCCAGAATGTGAGAAAATACATTTCTGTTGCTTAAGCAACACAGTCATTCCTTTGTGATGGCAACTCGATTTTTGGTGCTGCATATGGGGTACTGCTTTACAACCACCTAAGAAGGTGTTAGTGACTTTGGAAGTAGGTGATGGGTAGAAGGTGGAAGAGTTTCAAAGTGCACGTGACAAAACTCCAAGGTTGCTGTGAAGGGATGTTGAAGGTGACCGTGTCGGGAGCTCAGGAAGAAGACCGGGCAGCTGTCGAGAGGCCCCCATATTCTAAGAGAAAACAGGGATCTTCATGAACACAATGGGGGTTGAAACATGGACCTAAAAAGCCTCCTGGTGAGGCCTCAGATGCAAATGGGGAACATGTTATGAGTCCCTGGAGGAATGGTGATCCCTGATCATAAGGTGTCGATGGGCTTGGCTGCACTGGTTTCCCGTGTTATGTGGAAGGTAGAACTTGTGAGCAATGGAACTGGATTTTCAGCTGAGGAGGTTTCTAAGCAAGTGTAGGAGTGGCTTGGTTCCTCCTGGCTGCTTCTAGTAAAATGTGATGGGAGACAGTGGATCGAGGATGGCAATATTAATCAGATGCTAATCAGAATTTGAAGATTAGAAAAGCTGTCAGCTTGTCCATACAGCCAATAGCTAGAAAGCTTGTTGTGAAGAGGGCTCAGAGGTGTTGCTGAGAAACCCTTTGATGAGTGAAATCATGGGCGTGCCTCCAGGCTTTAATCAGCTGTCCCATCATAAACCAGGAGTACAGATAAGTTATACCAGCACATACACTGTTGTTGCCTTACAGCCTCATCCTTCACTGACCCCCCCCCACTCACACACACACCAACCCCTGACCTAACAAGGTCACGAAGGGAGTGTCTCAAAAAACTGAGACCCGGTAAAACGGTATCGGTAAAGCTTCCTCAAGGTAGTGTCCCAAAACGCTGGGACCCAGCAAAATGGAGTCAGTTATCTCCCTTACTTCATGGCCGCAGCAACAGCTGCACCATCCTGGGGGCTGTGTGTGTGGGAATATGAAGGCACAGCATGTGTTGGGGTAAAATGGGGCTGGTTGATAGAAACTGGCCTTAGGGCACTTATCACACAGACTTAAAAAAAAGTTTCTTCACTCCTTTGAAGTTTCTTAATAAAACCTACGCATTAGCTCGATTCGGGGCTCAGTTTCAGAGAGAGAACTGCAGTCCCCTGACCTCGCCTTAACTCTATCCTTGTCTCTTGTGTTTCTTTAACTCTTTGCTGCCCCTCTGACTGACCACTGCCCGTGCTGCACGGGACATGGCACAATGTCACTTAAAAATATATGGGAATGAAAAAGAAAGAAAGAAAGAAAGAAGGAAGGAAGGAAGGAAGGAAGGAAGGAGAAAGAAAAAAGAAAGAAAGAAAGAAAAAAGAAAGAAAGAAGAAAGAAAAGAAAGAAAGAAAGAAGTTTTATTTGGAATTTACCAAACAGGATCAGAGCTCAAATTGGTTGTGAAGATTTAATATCATTTTGAAAAAGGAAAGAATGACCTTGAAGAAATTTATGGAAAATTATGAAATGTTCTTCAGAGTAACGAGGAGGCCACTTGTGTGGGAAGCTCACATGCTCCTTAGTCTATTTGACCAGGAAACCCAGAGAGAAATCCAAACACTTGGGGTTCCCTAAATGGGAAATCTCATCTCCTCTGATCACACCCACCTACATCGACCCCTCTGAATGGACGTCTTCCTGAGTATGGTGAGGCTTCACAGCAAACACCTCTACGTGGGTCTAAAGCTAAAGTCACCAGCAGACTGACTGACCCTGTCAGGGCCCTGTGCAAAATCAGTGTGAGGGGCACTTGTTAAAGTTTAATAATTTAGTGACCCTGAGAGCACAGCATTCTCTCAGTAATGCACAAATCCTGTTTTTCAGTTCTCTTCCGTTGAATGGCTTTAAAATGACTCCCACATCTTTAGCCTCATTCTGCAACAAGAAACTATCTCTACTTCTTGTGATACCAAGTTGGACCCCTCCCAACAGGTGTCCTGGTGCAGGACTGGAAGTGACCAGTTCCCTGGTGGTCATGCTGAGCCACACAGGCTGCATGATGCAGGCACACTGTCACAATTTCTTTCCTTCCATCAAAGATTTTGGGATGAAAAGCTGACATTTAAGGTCAGTGTTTTGCTCTAGAAAGAGAATAGTAAAAAAAGACCATGGAACATGGAGTAGAGTGCGGGAACGGATTCAATGGAATTGTAATAGGTAAGCATGATATCGGGGGTGGGAGGGCAGTGGATGGGGGGAGGGGGGTTGTTACTTTGTGAGGGTGAAAAGGGTAACTATTGCATTGTTCTGTACACCTGAAGCTAACAATAAAAAAAAAAGACCATGGAGAGATCACCTTGCAGCACTTACACCCTTTCTTATCTCAAAAATGAGATATATCTGCTTGATTTGATAGTGCAATTGTTTGGTGGTTAGCTCTTTCAGGGTACAGCCAAGTGGATGCTTTAGAGAAAGTGAGTAAATATTCAATGAAGTCGGAAAACAATATATTATATATTTGTACTGAGAGTAATACTCAGTTATCCTTTATTTTTCATCCAGCTTCTTAACTACACCCAATTCATGTGCCTTTCTATATCTTAAATTTATCTTCTTAACATACTTCCAGTTTTGGGACCCCTCTCAGTCCTGCTTCATGTCTTTCCCAGAACTTTAGCTCACAAATATCTGACTCTACATATGGGCTGGTCACTGAGACATGAGGAGTCACCAGCATCCACTCTGTTTCCTGTCCTTTGTGTCATCACAGCCACCCATGGTGAGTCCACCATGTTGCTCTGTTCAGGAGGTTTCATCAGGATGACCTGTGTCATCAGGCTTCTGCATTGTTAGAGAATCACAGGGGTCAGCAGCCAGCTGTGCCCCCACCTGACACAGCCCTGTCCTGCATAGTCCTTGTGTCACCGTGAGTCATATGTTTTCATGACACGCGGGCAGAGCAGGTCCCCCTTCAGACCGAGTTAGACTCCCTGAGGTGTCCACAGATGGACACACATGTTAGATGAATTAGGAGGTGACGTGGGGGCACGTGAATGCCCACGTATGTACTGAACCTCCCTTCTGTGACGGGAACTGTGGGGGAGCTGGGAGTGTGAGCAGAGCTCCAGCCCCATGGAGCTCAGGGTCTAGGATGGATTTAGTGAAAATAGGACAGTAGCGGACAGAAGGTGATGTTGGGTGGTTTGAAATATACACATGAGAAAATGTAGACCAAGAGGTTAATGTTGTGATGCTGTAGGGAGGACAGAGACCATGAGGGTGGAGGTCCTGTGGGCTGAACATAATCCCGTGGGGCCGCGTGTGCCTGTGGGAAGGAAGGGCCATGTGGGGACCCCGTGGGCATGTGGGGGGGCAGAGAGCCTGAGCTCAGCACAAAGGGGCAGGGACTGTGCTGGGGTCTTTCTGTGGAAAATGTTTCCCAACCACAGGGAACACCAGAGTCCTCAGGTTGGTCTCAGTTGAGAAATAAATACAGAACACACAGGAATTCAGTTAAGAAAAGAAGCAAAGTCACTGTTGAATGTCACTGTAAACAGTGTTTCCCCCTGTGTGTGGCTTCTGAAAACAGGAGACATTAGAGTCACAAAGGTGGTTCAAGACTTGTCTCTGGGGGCAGCTGAGAAATTTTACAGGAAATCTCTGTTCCCAACAGGAAATCTCTATCCCGCCCAGGTCCCCACCTGCTGTTGGGGCTGGTTCCTGTGCTCAGTGTGTCCAGACCACCCCCTGCTGCCCTGAGCACCCCCTGCAGCTCAGCTCTCCCGTCCCCTCAGGGAGGTTTGTGTCTGGGCTCACACTGACTTCCCCTCACTGTGTCAGTCGCATAGTAGTAATAAACGGCTGTTTCCTCGGCTCTCAGGCTGGTCATCCGCAGATACAGCGTGTTCTTGGCATTGTCTCTGGAGATGGTGAATCGGCCCTTAACCGAGTCAGCATAGTATGTGCTACCACCACCACTACTAATGTATGAAAACCACTCCAGCACATTCCCTGGAACCTGGCGGACCCAGTGCATGTCGTAGCTACTGAAGGTGAATCCAGAGGCTGCACAGGAGAGTCGCAGAGACCCCCCAGGCTGCACCAAGCCTCCCCCAGACTCCACCAGCTGCACCTCACACTGGATACCTGCAAACACAGAGAGGTCCTGGTCAGAAGCTGTCACAAACCTACTGTTTCTCTCATTCATGTTCTTTCACAAACTCAGAGTCTCCTGTTCTCCATAAATTACGTCTTAAAATAGCCACAAGGAAAACCCAGCTGAGCCCAAACTCCATGGTGCGTCGTCTGTGTTCAGTCCTGATCACGGAATGAGGACACCTGGGGATCCCGGGGTTGGGGTGCCTGTCTCCGAGCTGCAGGGTCAGGGCTGGGCTGGTTTTCATCAGCAGAGGGGCCCCTATTTGCATATCCTCCTTCTATATAGGGAGCTCCGGGTTTGGACACCTACAGAGAGGGCAGGGCTTCAGTGCAGGTGTGAGTGTCCTGGGACACTTTCTGGCAATTAGATCATTTGGGAAAATATGATTTCTATTATTTAGGTGGCTGATGTAAACACTTAATATCCATCATCTTTTTCCACTTTTACATATACACAGAAGTCATGTGACATAGATAGTTTTACATCCATTTCACAGATGAACCAGTTGAAACAGAACCACAGAGTTGAGAGCATGTCTGGTTAGAGTGATCCCATTTCTCTGTCCCTGTGCTACTCAACTCTGAACCCCAGGCACATCTTTGCTCCTCGGGAAGGGAACTGCAGACCCGGACAGGAACCCGTCACTCCCAGCCGCCCTCTGCTCCTGCCCCTGGGCCTGAACCCCATGGACAAAGGTCCTGAGTGTCCCCTGCAGGTCAGTTCCTTCCCTCCCTCCAGGATTCGTGCTTTGTCCACATCCCTGTGTTGCTGGGCCATGCGGTCTTCAGGGAGAAGAGCTCTGTGCTCTGCTCCTTATCACGGTCCCTCTACTCTAGTATTTATCGTTCTAGTAACTCTCATGCCAGGTGAACCCTGCCAGCCAACAGCCCTCATCATGTTCCTCATCTGTCCTCCACCTTCAGTAAGTCCTTCCATTCCTGGAGGGCATAGGGGCTGTATCACTGTGTGCTGGGCAGAGGCTCCTATAATCTCGTGGGCTTAGTGTGTGAATTCTATATTTCTCTCTCACGATTCTTTTCTATTTGACAAAGTAGATAAACCGATACTTATCCAGGACACAATGTGGTGGACTAGAAAAGGCTAACTTGTATAAAAATAGATCTACACAGGTGGAACGGACTACACCATACAGTGAATTAATCCTGGTCACTTTAGATTAGGGATGCTGGGCCGTCCCCATGAGGAGTGGACACAGAAATGTTCTTCAGAGTAACGAGGAGGTGACTTCTGTGGGAAGCTCACATGCTCCTTAGTCTATCCAACCAGGAAACCCAGAGAAATTCAAACACTCGGAGTCCCCTAAACGGAAAATCTCATCTCCTCTGATCACACCCACCTGCATTGACCCCTCTGAATGGACGTCTTCCTGAGTATGACGAGGCTTCACAGCAAAGACCTTTACGTGGGTCTAAAGCTAAAGTCACCAGCTGACCGACTGGGCCATGTCAGGGCCTCATGCAAAATCAGTGTGAGGGAACCTTGTTAAAGTTTAAGAATTTAGTGACCCTGAGAGCACAGCATTCTCTCAGCAATGAACAAATCCTGTTTTTCAGTTCTCTTCTTTCTCCTCCAGGCACAATTGATCTCATAAATTTATTGCACACAAATTGTTACATATCTAACAATTAACTTAAGTATCATGGCTCATCGCTTCCATATCTTCCCCGTCTACCATAAACTTTCGCCAGTCGTGTCTGTGGCTTAGTACAGTAAAGACATATTTCAAAGTGGTATCTTTAATCTAGCAGATTCACTGCACCTATTTGAGATTTTTTTTATATTTTCTCAACAGATGTTTTGTGTATAGTACTGTTCTTTCAGACATTCCAGAAAGAGATTGTAAGTATAGTTTTATTACTGAAACATAGTAAATATTTTAGTTTCTAAGTAATCTGACAGATTCATTGCACCTGTTTAGGGTAATATTTTTCCTTTGTAGGTTTTACCTTCTGAAATGCCTCAACCTCAAAGATTTTATAATCCAGATGGCCTGAAAGATTCTGAGATATTGCTACAGATGTTAATGGAGTCTGATAATGATGAAAATGAACTTGAATTTGAAGACGAAAATGACACAGATGGTGAAGATTAAGTTGAAGAGCAACACCAAAATTCTGACACTTAGCAAGGAACCTCTTCAGAAAGTGACCAAGAAAGTAATAATGAAGAAATAGATGAATATTTTATTGGAAAAGATACAATAACCAAATGGAAAAAAACCTACATTGTCACAACGTGTAAAAAACAGACCACAAAATATTTTAATGTGTTCGCCAGTTGTCATGGGATCTGCAAAACAGGCTAAAACTAATCTAGAATGTTGGAACTGTTTCATAAATAAGGAAATATTGGACATCATCGTTCAGCATACAAATGAGTATATTGTAAAAACTCAGTCACTATACTCTCATGAGAGAGATGCAAAATGTATGGACCATGTCGAAATGAAAACATTTATTGGGCTGATATATCTGGCAGGTGTGCTGCACAGTAATAGGCAAAGCTTATACTAAATTTATGTAATAAACATACATTGTTTTTAGTTTGTAGCAAATTAAAATTTCATTCTGAATAAATAATAAGCATCTTACACATTATTTTTATTCATTTTCAATTTAAGTAAATAAATGTCATACACACATCTAGTAGATGCATTGCGCCCAAACTCGTTACGTTTGCATTGCACCCGATGGAGGGTTAAAATGACTCCCACATCTTTAACCTCATTCTGCAACAAGAAAGTGTCTCTTCTGGTGATACCAAGTTGGGCTCATCCCACCTAGTGTCCTGGTGCAGGACTGCAGAAGTGACCGGTCCCCTGGTGATCATGCTGAGCCACACAGGCTATATGAGGCAGGTAGATTATCACAATTCTTTTACTTCCATCAAAGATTTTGAGATAAAAAACTCACATTTAATGTCAGTTTTTGCTCTAGGATCAGAATAGGATATGAAAACAGACAATGAGAACACCTTGCAGAAATTACAACTCTATTAATTGCAAAAATGAGAGCATAGCTGCTTGAATTGATATGGGAATTATTTGTAGTTATGCCTTTAAGTGACAGTTAAACTGATCAATACTTTTAGAGAACGTGAGTATGGTCCAAAGCTAGGAAATCACATTGCAGTGTTTGTACTGAGAGTAATACTTAGTTATTCTCTATTCTCTATCGAGGATCTTAAGTACACTCAGATCATATGCTTTTACTGTATTTTAAATATTTCTCCTAAACACACTTCAGTTGTGTGTCCTGTCTCAGTCCTGCTTCATGTCTTTCCCATAACTTTAGCTCCCAAATGTCTGACTCCATGTACGGGCTGGTCACTGAGACACGAGGAGTCACCAGCACACCCACTCTGTTCCCTATCATCTGTGTCAGCACAGCCACCCATGAGGTGTCCACCACGGTGCTCTGTATGGGTGGGTCATCAGGATGTCCTGTGTCATATGGTTTCTGAGTTATTAGAGGTGTGTAAGGGTCAGCAGCCAGCTGTGTCCCCTCGTGACACAGTCCTGTCCTGCAATAGTGCCTGTGTCACCATGAATCATGTTTGCACAACACGTGGGTCCACAGGGCCCCCTTCAGACCCAGTGAGTGGAACTTGCCCTGGGGTTTCCACAGATGGGCAGATATGTTAGATGAATTAGGACATGACATGGAGGCACGTGAATATCCACATATGTACTGGACCTCCCTTCTGTGATGGGCACTGTGGGGGAGCTGGGAGTGTGAGCAGAGCTCCAGCCCCATGGAGCTCAGGGTTCAGAACGGATTTAGTGAGAATTAGGACAGTAGAGGAGAGAAGGTGATGTTGGGTGGGTTTCAACCTCCACCCAAGTAAATGAGGAATGAGAGGTTAATGTGTTATTGGGAGGACAGAGACTGTTGGGGTGAAAGTCCTGGGGGTGAACATATCCCCTAGTGCCATATGTGTCTGTGGGAAGGAAGGCACATGTGGGGATACCGTGGGCATGTGGGGGGCAGAGAGCCTGAACTCAGCACACAGGGGCCTGGACTGTGCTGGGGTCTCTCTGTGGGAAATGTTTCCCAACCACTGGGAAGATGAGAGGTCTCAGGACAATCTGTGTCTTGAGAAATAAAACAGGACATGTAGGTTTCTGGTGAAGAAAAGAGCCCTAGTCACTGGTGACAGTAATTGTAAACATGGTAACTCTGTTTGCTGGCTGCTGAAAATAGGAAAAATTGGAGTCACAAAGAAGATTCAAGATTTGTCTCTGGTGGAAGCTGAGAAATTTTACAGGAAATCCCTTCCCCACCCAGGTCCACACCTGGTCCTGGGCTGGTCCCTGTGCTCAGTGTGTCCGGAGCACCCCCTGCAGCCCAGCCCTCCTGTCCCCTGCAGGGAGGTTTGTGTCTGGGCTCACACTGATTTCCCCTCACTGTGTCCCTCACACAGTAATACACGGCCGTGTCCTCGGAGGTCACAGAGCTCAGCTGCAGGGAGAACTGGTTCTTGGATGTGTCTCTGGACATGGAGGTGCGGCTCTTGAGGGAGGGGCTGTAGGCTGTGCTCCCTTCATAAGCAATGATCCCGATCCACTCCAGCCCCTTCCCCGGGGGCTGCCGGATCCAGTTCCAGTCATAACTGCTGGTTGTGATGGAGAATCCAGAGACAGTGCAGGTGAGGGACAGGGTCTGCGAGGGCGTCACCAGTCCTGGACCCGACTCCTGCAGCTGCACCTGGGACACGACACCTGCGGACAAGGAGAATCAGCCTGTCACTCACGTGCAGTCACAGCCATCCCACAGACCATGTCTGACATCTGAGACCCTCACCTTGGGGGGCTGTCACCAAGCACAGGAGAAGACCCAGCAGCCTCATCTTCTAGACCACAGCTCTGCCTTCCCCAGAGACCTCATCCCTGTGTGAGGAGAGAGCTGTGAGCTCACAGCCCAAGGAGGGTTTTACCCTGGAGCCTGCAGAGAAATTTGCATGTGGGGCAGCCTGGTCCTTATAAGTGGGGAGGGACTGAGTCGGGCTCCCCTGGTCCTTCTGGGGACCCTGTGGGTCTCTATTTAAGGAATCACATGGCATGTCATCTGGGATGGAGGAGAACTTGGTCTATGAGACATCTTGGAACCAGATCAAAGGGCAGCTCCACCTTTTGGTGACCGGAACTGCTTTCCTTCAATCCCCTCGTCCCTCCTTTCCTCTGGACACAACCCAACTCCCCCATCTCCTCAGGATGGGGTCCCCCGGCATCCGTGCTGAGTCCAGCACAGCTCCCACCTCCTTCCATGGACCCTCTCCTGTGATACGATCTCATCACCGTTGAGAGCTTGTTAAATGTTTACATTATTGTTGCCTGAGTTCCAGGCCTATTGTGTCCTCCACAGTCCTGTGAGCCCTGAGAACATGCAGCACAGACCCCTGGAAATAGGGATGAAATAACCTGTAACTTCTCAGTTAGCTGATTCTCAATATTTGGAAACGGGACACATACACTCGTTTTAAATTCCCCATTTCTCAGGTGATTGCTGTGCATGTGAAATGTAAGAATTTTCAGTCTATATTCATCGCTTCATGATCTCTGGATGTTATTCCTGTACTTAAACCCCTCAATTCATTAGAGATCTCTATTTTTAAATGATCAATCATAATTGATGGCATACATGTATTAATAACGTCCCCAACAAGTAACATTGAACATACATTTGCCATTCTCATCTCAGCCCATCTCTCTCCCTCATAAAACACAGAACTTCTGCAGACCTCAGGTGACCCATCTCTGCTCTCCCTCTCAACTGAACACTGTTATAACTCCTACTTGATGTTTGGAGGAACTCATGCATGTGTGATTGAGACATACTTTTCACAGGACCCGAGTTTGAGGGAAGAGAGAGACAGTCTATAGGTCAGTATTACTTAGAAGTTCATGATGATCGTCATAATTAGTAGCTTGGAGTCCAGGACCCTCCCCTTAGATTCAGACACTTCTGAGCCACCCACGGTGATAGGTTTTCCCTTGTTTCTGCTCATCAGCACAGGTGAGGTGGGCACAAACACGAGTGAACCTGCCCTTGTGTGGTGGGGCCACTCCTGGGTGCTGTGCTCTGTCCTCCAGGGAAGGAACTTGCAGCTCCGTTTGGAGAACTGTGCCCAAGGTGTGGGGCCAGCCCACCTGTCTGGGGATTTAGAAGCACTAGGATTCACGACCACCTGGGGAGGCTCTTGGCAATGGCTGTGAGGGCAGAAGGGTGAGATGCATGTGCCTTGTCTCTGGGGTGGACACTCCGCCTGCTCAGCCGTCAGTCCTGGCAGGGCAGGTTAAGGCTGATACCTGAGGGGCTACAGAAATGATGCCTGTCCTTGGGCACGTCCATCTCCCTGCCTGCAGCCCGCAGCCTTCGCAGGTTCTCCCGGGGGGATGTTCTCTTAGGTCTTCTCACCATGAAGCCATGTCTGCAGTTCTGAAACTGGGTTCAACCCAAGATAGGAGGCCGTTAACAGAGAGTGGCAAATCGTTCCAAAGATTTTCCTTTTTCTTCTTTTTTTCTATAAGTTCATATCGTAATTTGTATACTTATATCCTATATCTGTTTGGATTTAATATTTGTGTATGGAGTGAGATGAAACGGAAGATCTTTTTTTACATATGGAAACACAGTCTGTCTTTGACCAATGTTGGCCAAGCCCCTCTGAATGCTACATCCAGGGAGGCCTTGCCATTTGGACTTCCATGTCAACCTCTTAATCAGACAATTTTAGCAAGCATCTTTGTAAGGAGCTTTACCCAATCCCTACCCTCAATATCTAACTCTAGATATCTGATCAGTTCCCTCATCCCCCACCATCCCCCAGGCAATGCCTGTTCACCCTGGCTTTCCTTCAGCAAGTCCCTCAGGTTGGTTCAGCCAGAACCCCTCTCAACCCTTATCTTTCCTCCTAGTCAATCTCCATCCACACCCTCCCTGACTCTTGGCGATAAAGTCCCA